GAGGGGCGCGTCTTTGGGCGGGGTGGGACCGTAGAAGTCATCGGAGTCCGCGGGCAGGGTGCGCAGGCGGATGGGTACGCTCGGGGCCTGGAAGCTGGACGAGTTGAGGGTGACGATGCGGATGGTGTAGTGGCGGTCGGGCTGCAGGTTCTCGATGGTGATGGAGGATTCCTGCGGGGAGATGTCGCCAATGTCGATGCCGTTGATGCGGATCACGTATTTGAGCACCGAGGCGCGCTGGTCGGGCGGCTTCCAGTGCAGCAGCACGCCGTCGGCCTTGATGCCCGCGAGCGAGACGAGGGGCGCGACGGGGACTTCGAGGCCGAGCACCTGCACCAGCTTCTCGACGGGCTGCGTGAGGACCTGGTAGGCGCGGAAGGCGACCCTGCATGCGCGGTGAGTAGGTGCGCGTGTATTTCTTCTTGTATACAATTCCTACCAGAAGAGGGCCGAGACGATGCACGCCGTGCGCAGCCAGCCCGACGACGAGAACAGCAGGGCCTCCATGTCGTAGCGGGCGACATCGGGCGGCCAGTACAGCGACTGTGAGGGTTCCGAGAACATGGCGACAGCTGTCAGGCGTCTCCCACCTGGTTGTCGTGGTGGGTGAAGTTTGCGCGGTGCCTGGCGGCGTCATGTGCAGCCACAACCGCCGCAAATGGCCGAAGCTACAGGCCATTTCGACGTCTTGGCTGCTCCACTCCTGCACCTCCTCCGCATTCATCTTCGAGAGTTACTAGTAGCAGCTAGCGGGGCAGGGTGGCTGTCGAAAAGTCGAGTTAGGCGTGTGTTGAGAATACCATCGCGATACCTTCCATTGACTATTATCCGGTAGCAGAGTCATGAGAGGTGACATCCTCATAATCTACACGGAGCAGTGGTTGAGCCAGTGGCTGGCCCAACATATCATCAGCACGAACGGTTCTCCAATGTGCGTGCTCCGTTGCAGCATGTGAAGATGGCATCTCGATTCTGCACCTTAGCCCATGCAATATGCACGAAGTCCCTCGCAACAGATACCATTCTGGATGTACCATTCTGGAAATTCTTGCCGCACTCCGGCTCAGCGCATCACTTGATCTCGGCCTGACGTCCTCGGGCCCGTGATGCGCCCGCGAGCTCGGTGACCGCACAGCTCACCACTGCCTAGGCACGTCAGCGCAAAAGTACTTCCACTCCTGACATCCCTTCTTTGACCCTCAACGCTCGGCCGGTCGCTCCTCCCTCGGTGAAAGCAGCCCTCTGACATGTGAAGAAAGAATGCAAACACGCTCTGACACATTTCCATCCGCCCGCCCTCTGTAAAACACTTCTGACGTACATCCCCGACGCTCGCTACGAACCATACAAACGAGATCATCTGCGCAAGAGGCGCTGCGCCCATAGACAGCAACCATGAACTACGTGCGATCCATCACGGGCAGCGTGTCCAAGGGCTGGAACTCGATCAACCCCGCCACCCTCAGCGGCGCCATTGACACCATCGTCGTAGAGCACGAGGACGGCAGCCTGGCATGCTCGCCCTTCCACGTCCGCTTCGGCAAGTACCAGATACTGCGCCCGTCGGACAAGAAGGTCGAGTTCCGCGTCAATGGCGAGCTGCAGGACTACTCGATGAAGCTGGGCGAGGGCGGCGAGGCCTTCTTCGTCTTCGAGACGACGCGCTCCATCCCCGCTGAGATGCAGACGTCGCCCATCGCATCGCCCGCCGCCAGTCCCGAGCAGAAGCCCGTAGAGCTGCCCTCGGAGCGCGCCTTCGACGAGCCCGAGCCTTTCGACCTGGACGGCAGCGCTACAAGGAGGAGAGGGCGCATGTCCATGTCGGTGCCTGCCTCGGACTATGCCGGGGCCGACTTTGGACGGCCCAAGTCGGGGGACTGGTCGGGCTTCCATATGCAGAGGGCAAGCACGGATGAGACGGTGCCTTCTGTAAAGGACGGCTTTGCCAAGACATTCGACGGAGAGGAATCACAGGACAAGGGGCCCGAGAGAGGACCACTGCAGATCAGCAAGGAGGATGCGACGGCTTGGAACAGGTCAACGCGCTCAGCGAGTCCGCCGCCTGTGTCCTCCGCCGAAGCCCTTGCTCGCGCTATCAAGCTGTCCAAGAAGCTCTTTACCTCGAACATCCCGAACAAGGTCACCGAGACTGGCGACCTCGAACTAGACATGACTGGGTACAAGAGCAGCGAAGAGGATGCGTTGCGCGCCGAGGTCATAGCCAGGCGCATTCTGTCGGATGAGCTCGCAGGAGACTACGACATTGGCGCGCTCATAGGCGCTGACGAGAACGGCAATCTCTGGATCTACAGCAGCGAGGAGGCCAAGGCAGCGGCTATGGCAAAGACGACAATGAATGTACTGAACGAGTCCGCTCTTCAATCAACCGATGCGCTGTCAGACCCCGGCTACCAGAGCGACAGTGGACGTAGCGATGACACTGCCCAATTCCCCCTACGCAGAGACTCAGACAGTGCACTGGGTTCCTCGGCGCCACACTCACCCGAAGCCAGGAAATCCGAGCACAAGACATACGCAAAGACACTACGCCTCACCAGCGAGCAACTCAGAGCGCTCAACCTAAAGCCCGGCGCCAACACCATGAGCTTCACCGTAAACCGCTCAAAATGCGAAGCCTACATGTTCTACTGGAAGCACGACGTGCCCATCGTCATCTCCGACATCGACGGCACAATCACCAAGTCCGACGCCCTCGGCCACGTGCTCAACATGATCGGCCGAGACTGGACACACCAAGGAGTAGCCAAACTCTACACCGACATTGTCAACAACGGCTACAACATCTTCTACTTGACAAGTCGCTCCGTCGGCCAAGCAGACACCACACGCGCGTACCTCAACGGCGTCGTCCAAGACAACTACCGCCTCCCCAAAGGCCCCGTAATCATGTCCCCCGACCGCACCATCGCGGCCCTCCGCCGCGAAATCTACCTCCGCAAACCCGAAGTCTTCAAAATGGCTTGTCTACGCGACATCATGCAGCTCTTCGATAAGCCCGCGCACCAAACGCCTTTCTACGCTGGTTTCGGTAACCGCTTCACAGACGCGCTGTCCTACCGCAGTGTCAACATCCCTTCCACCCGCATCTTCACCATCAACTCCAATGCCGAAGTCAGTCTGGACGTTTTGTCGCTCAACAGCTATAAAACGGGTTACGCAAGCATGCGCGAGATTGTAGATCACTTTTTCCCGCCGGTTGGGCTGCTTGTTCCGGCGGGTGGGGAGGCGTATACGGATTTTAATTATTGGCGTGATCAACCGCTTGATATTCAGGATTTTACGGATAGCGAGGATGAAGATGAAGACGACGACGATCAGACCGAAGCGGCTAGTATAAGGAGTGAAGACGAGGGATCGGAGATTGGCGAGGATCTTGAGGCGAGCTACATGTCGAGGGAGAGCTTGGATGTCGATGAAACGGGCTTGGAAGATTCGATTGTCGAAAGTGTGGAGGGGGGTGATTATTTGGAGGGCGAGGGGTATGTTGAGAGGAGGTATGGGGATGATGAAGAGGAGGCGTATGACGACGACGAAGGTGATAGAACGATGGTTCAAGACGTTGTTCCTTCGATTGAGGGTGGGGGGGATACGGGTGTGGATACGAATGTTGAGCGTATGCGGGCGCTGGATGTGAAGGAGAGGAGTCCTACGCCGCGGAGGTAGTCAGACGTGTTGGTGTTGTCTTATTGGTTTGAGTAATCTTTTCGCATAGCATGGCATGGGGCGGCGTTGGAGTATCGGCAGTGGTAAGGATAAGACACTGGTGTTTTGTAGAGTATTTCCTGTTATTTACTTGTAATTCATTAGATCAGACTGAGATTGGGCTTCAACATGCCTCTTCTAGCATGTGTACAAATCGTGTCTTCCAAGTTCTATTGTTGGTAGATTGCCTCGTCACTTACTTCCCACTGCGTCTTCCATCGTCACTTCCTCACGCGCTTGCGCCAATCAATATGATACACCTTTTTTACCACGTCACCCGAATCACTTACGCAATATTCCAGGCTGCCGCTCCTGCACTCACCTTGCAAACGGGGTCCGGTGGAGATTATGGCCACCGCGCCTGGACCTTTCCCGACGTACTCGGCTCCTTCCTTCCAAGTCTTATACAACAACCTCACCTGCTCCTCCCTCGACAACCCCTCTACACAATTCACAATTTATCCAAGAAACAAACTCCTCTAACAACCGAACCAACGAACTCAACTCCCACACAACATGAAGTACCCCGGTACCGCCATCTTCGCCCTCGCGGTTCTCTCCACCATCACCCTCGGCAGCGTCATCCCCCGCGACGACGCTCCCGTCGGTATTGCCTCTGTTGTTAACGCCGCTTTATCATCCGACAACGCAAGTCCACCACCCTTCCTACCACATCCCTTATCCCTGCTCTACCCCAGAGCTGACGACGAAGATCAGGACGTCCACACTATGGCTACTACGTTCTGCAAGCGCTGCAGTGAGGCTTATGTTGATTGCGCTAAGGTTAGTAATTTTTCTGTTTGATACATAGGGGCGGATTGGGGGTGGGGGTTTGGGTGAGGGTGGACAGTGGAAAGGGAACATGGAAAGGGATGTCGAATGATCTGTGCTAATGTGAATAACAGAGCTGCAAGCATACTTCTCAGTGTGAGATCATCTGCCAGGGTGTTCATGTTGATGGCAAGTTGTGCAAGAAGGAGTGTGGTTGGGGTCAGTAGATGAGTGGGTAGGGGGTAGGAATTGAGGTGAGGTGGATGTTAGTGCAGTGGTCCCGTGGTGTGTATCTTCGGGTTTACAGACATATGGATGGAAAGGGAGATGGAAGAGAGATGATGGCGTTCACGTCACTGATGAAGCTCGGCTGTAGTACTGCAGGTGGTATCTCATGGGTAGCCTCGACTCGAGGAAAGCAACCTTGAAAGACTCCAAGCTCGATATCTTCTCTTCGTCAACGTCATCTGCATTCTAAACCCCCCACCTCTCCCCAATCCCATCTTTCAATTCGGCGTAAGCTTCAACAACCTCCCCCCAGCCCCATCCTCAATAACCCAAATCGCACCCTCCTTATCCTCCCTAATCCCCCTCATCCTTTTCCCCATCCCAATCCTCTGCTCCTCCTTCGCCACATCCCCCGTAATACCCACCCTCACAAGCCCTTGTGCGCTAAGACCGGTAATGATAGCATTCCCCTTCCACCCCTTAAAAAGGTCACCTTTGTACATAATCAGGCCAGCAGGCGAGATAACAGGAACCCAACTCGCCCTCGGCGCCGCAAACTCGGGCCTCGTACTATGTTTCGGTATCAACGTGCCATTGTAATGCCGTCCCTCACACACAACCGGCCATCCATAATTGCTTCCCGGCACTATCAAATTCAGTTCGTCGCCTCCAAACGGACCCATCTCGACTTCCCACAAACGACCCTGCGCGTCGAAATCGATACCGAGTGGATTGCGGTGGCCGAGCGTGTAGATCTGGGATTGAATAGAGCCTTGAGAGGCGAATGGATTGGAGGCGTAGGAGGTCCCGTTGTCGTAGAGACGGATTATCTTTCCTAGGTTGGAGGTCATGGATTGGGCGGGGTGCATTTGGTTTATCTCGCCTGAGGAAATGTATAAAGCACCGTCGGCAGGACCGAATTTCAAACGGCATGCAAATTGAAGGCCGCCTGTGGCACGTTGGGAATGCCGCCAGATGACTTCGAGACCAGAGAGTGCGCCGCTGCTACCACTCAGACTCAGCTTGGTGCGCGCGACCGCGCAGCCTGCGCCACCGGAACCGTTTTCGGCGTAGCTGATATACACGATGCTGTTATTCGCATACTGTGGATGCAAAGCAACATCGTGGAGACCGCCTTGACCGGCATACGAGACGGCGGGGACGCCGGTGATGCTGGCTTTTGCTTTCGTGGCCGGGTCGACGAGGAGGAGGTTGCCCTTTCGCTCTGTGACGAGGATGCGGGAGTCGGGGAGGAAGGCGAAGGCCCAGGGTTCGGAGAAGTCGGATATGGGTGTTGTTTTGAAGGGCTGTTGGCGGGTGGATAGGTGGGGGGACAGGGCGAGGGCGGTTGTTGCTAGGGCTAGGGCTAGGGCGGAGGTGAGGGGGAAGTGGAGATGCATTATGGAGGTGGTTTGCTGAGTTTGCTAGATATCGGGTTATGGTATGGTGGAGCTTTGTAGGCTCACTGTGTAAAGAGCCTCTTAGGTTATCTGGTCTCCAGAACAGGTAGGTGTATGAGCGACGGAATACCTGGAGCAGCCTCATATACCATTCCAGCTCCTCCTGGCCTGTGACGTCTTGATGTGTACATGATTTCAGTTAGAGTAGTTGCACTTTACGACCCTGTTAGTGGTGGTATGTGTTGGTGGGGCAAGAGTCCTAGAGTGTGATACAATCTTGGAAGTCGCGAAGTTCAATTCGATGCCGGACAATACTACCTGCCTAAGGTAGGCGATTGGCGCGCGGTAACTAGATATTCTCGCCAAGGTACCACTCGGTAAGTAACAGCAGATGAGTGCCGCTATATTAGAGAAAATACGCACAGGCATGATAAAGTAGCCAAGACCTTCACGTGGGTGATTGAGATGCCGGCGGAAGATCCCAAGGCTGGGCGTGACGATAGAGCGCGGCACATGTTGTGACTGCCCGTTTTGGCGCGACCTACATGTGCAAGGTTAGATTATTAATTTTCCGTCAACCGATATTGAACTTGCGTCACAACATTAATCCCACGTTGCGTGGATGGATTCACAGACTGTTCAAGCGTTGCTTTGCAACGGTACTTCATCATTCTCATTCATCTCGGTCTTGCCGTGGATATAATGTCCCCTCTCACCTACCCTCCATCTCCACATCCTCCTCCTCAATCGTAGGCAAAACCTGATACATCCTCTTCCCCTTGCCCATCCTCTTCAAGCACCGATCCGTATGCAACAAATGCCCCCTCTTCTGCCTTACAAAGCCCGCAAAACACGCCGCGCTCGACGCAATCGCGCCCGCAGAGATGTATATCGGTATGAAGAAGTCCTGCGGCTTGTACCAGATCATCGTCGTCGCAAAAGAGAGCAGTTCGAACAGGTTCTGTAACGACATTTCGATAGCGGAGAAAGAGCCTCGGGAGGCAGGTGGCGCGTCTTCTTGAACGAGGTATTGGACGCTGAGATCGAAGCCCCAGAGGCCGAGGCGGGAGAGACATACGCCGATTACGAGGGCGCCGCCGGCTAGCATCGGTGCTGTGGTTGTGGGGAAGACGTGGAATAGGCCGATTGCCAGGGCGATGGCGAGGAGTTGTTCGTTGATGAACCAGAGACCTGCTCGTACGGCGCCGATTTTGTTCATCAGCCACGGCGCTGCGATGGTGGCGGATAATTCGAGGACGACGGATACGAGGCGCATGACGGAGACGTGCGTGCTGGTAAAGCCGAGGGTGAGGAGGTAGGTCGTCATTTGCGAGGCGAAGGAGAGGACGGTGAGGTAGAGGAGGGAGAGGGAGAAGGAGGCCAGGAAGGCGGGGTTGGTGATGTATTCGCGGTACGGCGCGAGGTGTGCGATTATGGTTTTGGTGATGGTGGAGCGTCGCGTAGTGGTATTTGGTACGGTATCCTGGTTAGGCGACGAGGCTCGCTGTTGCAGTTCCGTAGCAATGTCCGTTTCAGACGCTTGTTTCGTCACGACGCCCTTTCCGATACTTAATTCCGGTACCGCGGCATATACATTCGCGATGGCGAAGTATTCTACTAACACGCTTATTGCGTTTTGTGCGAAGACGGCCCAGATGGCGAGTTTGGTCGAGTATCCGTCTACGAGCCCGATACCGACAGGCGCGATGAGCTTGCAAATGAGGTCTATCCTGCGCATGGCGCTGTTCAGCTCTTGTCGGTCGACAGATAGACTCTCAGCTATGACGACGATCCAGTCGCGCTCCACAGATACGGTGTTGGCGACGAAAGCGAGTTTCTCGATGCATGCCAGCACCACGCTGATGAGGAATAGTCCGTAGGTTACCATCCCAATATCCTTCTCTTCTCCACCCAAACCCAGCATCGCTACCAAAATCGCACAGCTCCCCGCAACACTAACTCTTTGCCACACAATACTCTGGCGCACAACCCATAGTCTATCTCTCCGGTCAACTAGCCCTCCAATCCATGATCCGAGGACTGCAGCAGCAAGCGACCGGAAAAGCGCATAGCATGATGCGAAGAAAAGCGTTCCAGGGAAGATTTTGGCTAGAAAGATCACAGCGCCGAATTCAAAAGTGCGCGCATTCCACGTCGAAAGTACGTGTGAAGTATACAGCTTGGTGAGGAGGTGGCGGGGTGATCGTCGCGTGGGCGATGGTGTTGATCGGGCGGGGTAGAGTGGTTGTGGTTGGGTTGGTGAGGCCAGCTCTCGTCTGGTCTCGCTCGTCGAACTCGTCGAACTCGTCATATCGTCACAAAGTGTATGGATAAGAAGAAGCAAAAAGGCAAACCGCCCCCCATGGCGAAGAAGAAGCTACATATCGTGTCGCAAGGTTTAGCTGCCTAATACCGTGATGGTCATGAGACGGGTGCCCGATGCTGTGGGAAACGGACGTCTGGGCCTTCCGAGTCGCCTCATGGATTGCGTTTGCACGTGTGGACCCTGGCGATCTGGTGGTGGGATTAGGCTGTGTTGGGTTAGCGTCGCGAGATTTGATAGGTTTGATAGACAGCAGGGCCGAGTGTTTATTGAGAGATGTTTTTAACGAGCTGTCGAGAAGGGATCGTTGGTTTGTGGAGAGTGATAGTTGTCAAGGAAGGTGGGTCTTTGCCGTTGTGTAGTGATTCCGAGCATCGCATTCATTCGGCTTTGAAAGCACGTAATCAATGCTCATGTTATCCTCATAACTACATAAAGCTTGTGGCACTGCACATGTTGCTGTAGTTCGTTACGTTATTAACAAATAGCACGCTCTGTCCGAGGTATGCCCTTTTAATCTAGAAAGAACACTTACAGTACATACCTAGGCATAGCAATGCTAGTATTAATTGCAGTACCTGCTACATTAGATTAGTAGGCATTAGCTTTTTCTTCTTAGTTCTATTAGAGGTTCAACATAGCTAACTATAAACGAGTACTGCAACGTATGTCGATGTTTCTTAATAATAGTGTTAAGGTCTTCTAAGAGAGCAAAAAACGCAAAAAGTAAACTAAATATCTAAGCAAAACGTCTTATTTAATATAGGTTATTTAGCTGCTAGTCTAACTAGTAACATTAAATTAGACTAAGTTCTACTATTCTAACACTAGCTGTCTACTTATCTTTTTAGCAACGTTCTAATTTTAACTAAACTCTAGTCTACAGCTAAATACACTTCTTCTTTATACTAGGTACAAGAAGAGCTAACATTCTAATATACATCTCTTCTACCTATAATAGTAGAGGTGTAAGTAACACTAACCTTAGTATTAAGCCTCTAATTACTTAAATCTTAGCCTATATTATCTACGTCTCTAAGTAGGTGTTACCTATAGACATTAGTATAATACACTACTTACTATACTTACTCTATATACTAGTACACCTAAAAAGATACTACTAGACTACTATAAGTATAGCTATTTTAGAAGGCGTAAGTAAGAAGTTAGCTACTAAATACTAGAGATCTAGCTAGCTTTGCGCTAGAGTTTTAGAACTATTATAAATAATAAAAATAATATTACTATTAATAGATATAAGATTTATTATAATAGTATTCTTAGTAGTATTTTTAATAGAATTTAGAGATAAAGTCTAAATAAAAGTAGTAATATTAGAAAAAATTTCTTAAGTTTTAGTTCTAGCGATTACCTAAGTTCTGCCTAGCAAAACTACTATTATTCTACCTCTTCTACACTATTCTATATTAACTATAAAGTTTTAGCCTACTCTAAATTATAAGCTTTTACTTTAGCTTGTCTATTACGCGCCTATATTAGTTCTACTAGTTCTTACTTAAATACGCAAATTACTAATATTCTACTTAGTAAAACTAGCGCTATTCTAACTATTTTAAACCTCTTATATTAACTATAAGGTTCTAGCTTACTCTAAATTATAAGCCTTTACTCTAGCTTACTTATTACGTGCCTACGTTAGTTCTAGTAGCACTTAACTAAACTTGTAAATTGCCTACATTCTACCTAGCAAAACTATTATAGTTCTAGGTATTCTACTACTAAGTATAACGTTACTTCTACCTTTTTAAAAATGTATATATTATTTTCTCTTTAATATATTATAAGACTTATAGAGTTATATTTATATTTTAGTATAGTTATACTTCTTTATCTATATAATTACGCTATAGCTTTATATAAGTATAACCTAACTATATAGCTCTGTATACGCCTTTCTATATATATTAGTAAGGCCTCTACTACCTTCTACGTTAGTAAGTAGCTAGTTTTAGAATTTAGCCTCTACTATAAGTTCTCTACTAAAGCTAGTACTCTATGTTATCTTTACAGCTCTAAAACTAATAGTGTTCTTATTATATTTATTTATAAATAGATTAATTACTATGTTATTATTAATATCTATATAGATCTTGTTATAGTCTATTAACTTACAGCGCAGCCTTATAAGTAGTAAGTAACTAATCTAGTAGCTATTACTATTACGCATAATAGAGTATATTCTTACATTTAGGCTCTACTCTAGAAAGTAAACGTTCTCTACTATAACCTATCTATTATTCTTTAAGTTAATATTAGTAAGTAGTTAGCTAGTAAGAGAAAGATCTATTATATTGCTGTAGGTAGTCTTTATATATATAGCTAACGTTATACTATTTATAAGCGCTAAAAGAGCTAGAGTTAGTATTATCTTAGATAAAGTAGAAAGGTTACGCGCACGCCTAGTATAATAGAAAATAAGTATTATATTTAGGTTATATAAGTAGAAATAGTTAGTCTTAAAAGTAGTTAGTATTATGTTAAGTAAAATACAAAGGTTTATACCTAAATTAATACCTAGCGCAAGTGTATTGTATAGTAATATATACCTAACTTAAGCTATTAATAGTAGCTACTCTAGAGAAGTAGTTTTATAGCGTAGTTAATTATTAGTAAGTATTAGTAATACTAGCGTAATAATACTAGAGTAGAGGTAGCA